AAAACAAAACATAAAAGAATGCCACTTCTTTCACTATGCTATTGAAATCATCAGATTGAGAAACTAATCTTGCACTCAAATTTTGTGGATCCAAGGGATCCTCATAGACTTCCAAGTATAGGTTAGCTTGCGGTTCCTCATTTTCTTCCTCATCTGGGGGGCATGGAAAGAGTGAGTTTCATATGCTTAGTAAGAAAAACAGTATTAAATTAACATCGTAAGGTTTTAAAGGTGAATTATTTTAACTTAAAAGCTTACCATTTAGCCACATCATAGACCAATCTTACATTATGAAAATAATTAATTTATTAAGAAACAACGCATTAATATGAACAAATCAAATATTCATCATGCCAGATAATAATGAAAATCAAATAAATCATGAAATTCTCATATTTTCGTGTCATGCTTTCCGAAGTGTTACAACTTCCATTTCTGAAGGCAGATACAGATTTCCAATTACCCAGGTGGAATGACTAGATCAAATACAAGTATGATAATTTGCTCAAGCCCATTTCTGGCTGGCCAAACCATAGTACGATCTACAATCACGGTCGTACCAACCATAGTGGCCCGATTTGATATCTACAGTCACAACAACACTTAGCTAAGGGTGACCCCTAACAGATATTCGCGTTACCACTCTCGTTAAAGGGTACACTGTCATCCACTAGGAGCAGTTCTCTTACGTATTTCCAGACCAAATGGGGGAGGGAGAAATAGATACCCCGAAGGGCTAGGGGAACAGATACCACTCAGAGATAAAAAGCCTAATGAGACACTTTATTCAATATGCATATCAAGACACATATATTTTGGACCATTCAGGCTTCATTCCACTTTTCTATTTTCTTTTTCTTTTTATTCTTTATTTTTACCAAGCAATAATAACAACTTCATATTATATTTTATTATACGCAAATCATCAAGTGTATATTACTCACATAATATACTTAAAAACAAGAATAATTCGACTTATCTGAACTACAAATGCAAAGGCATACAAGCAGGCAAAATCACAATCATCATGTTTAATAGTTTTATTTTATCTAAAAATATTCCTTAAGACATTAAAAGAAATACTAAATTCCTTCTCAAAACCTTGATGTTTTCTCTTTCACCGTTTTTCTTTTCTTTTCCTCCTCTCACTAGATTATTCTCTCTCTCTCTCCTTTTTTCTCTAAGTCTAGAAAAATGGAAGAATGGAAGAGTGGGGAAGAATAGGATGGGAAGGCCTATTTATAAAATTTTAGAACGGTTGGATTTACATCAAGTGGAAAAATTTGATGAAGAGAGAGGAGAAAAAGAGCTCGACACAAAAAATGAGGGAGGAGGGCCGCCTCTAGCTACTAGGCCACCGCTCGAGGTGACAGCAGTGCACTGCAGGCTATCCTGCAGGTGCACAGGCCTCCTGCCATGCATAAGGCCTATCTGCGCGGCATCCGCGTAGGCGACTCTGCTTCCTCGTGGGATTTCTTCTTGTTTCGCTATTTTTATGATTTTTCTAAATTTTTCTAAAACTAAATTAAATAAAATCAAATGCAAATTAAATAATAAATACTCAAAATTTCATAAAATGAAATAAAAACAAAATAATGAAAAATCAACCAGATTTACGAATTACAATAAATAATACGCAGTGTAATTTAAATGAGTTTAATGCGGCCAAAGGCCCGAACAAATAGGATTTTCTAAATTAATTAAGCACAACAATGGGCAGGGTGTTATAAATACCAGGCTAGTATCATTTATTTATTGAAAAAGAGATAACACTTTTATATTTTTATTGCATTAAATTGGCAGGAAATACATGTTTGATTTCTTTACGAATTTTTTGGCTATTACAAAAATCAATACAAAAGTATTAATATTTATTACTTTTATTATACCATTTTAAAATTGAATCATACTAATCTTTCCTTAACAATATGATTGGTATTTTTTCTCTTCAAAAGAGATTTTAGATTCAAATTGTGCATTTTTGTAGATTATCTTTAAGAGGTTATGTCATCTAATTAATGAAATGTATAAATTATTATTAAAAAATCTAAATCCTAAATTTCAATTCTATATTTTAAAAGTAATATTTTTCTGAAAAGTAATATACCTTTTACCCATAACAAGTAGATTTTTAAAACCAACCATAAGGAATGCTTATATAGCAAAATCAACCAATAGCATCATCTAAAATACATGAGACCTTGGAGCATAAAATAATAGCAAAAAAAAGGCATAAATAACAACAACATAGTTTAAACACTACATTACACATCTAAAACAACTTCCTATATCTCTATGTGTGATGATGTTTAACAGCAATATGAAAGGGTTATTCGAGACACTTAACTGTTTAAACTAGTTGACGTATAATTGATTAATTTTGGTTGTGTGTGAATTTCATATTGTATGTATAGAAGCTCCAAGGATCATGCCTATATGAGTTAATGGATACCTTATAGATTTTAAGAATTGGAACAAGCGTTCCTTTGGCTATATGCGCACTGAAAAGAAAAAAAACAACTAAAAGCACACATATCACCCACACCACCAAAGATCTCCAAGCTTTTACCAATATCCTCTCAAACCCATTCGTTCCTCTCTTCCACGCAGCTTTGTTGCTCCCTCTCACTCAATCACAGACACTTGAAAATAGTGCATATCTACTAGAGCTTTACAACTCTGTAAACATTTGTTGTATAATCCCCCTTCATAGCCTCATACCAATACATCAAAAGGTAAGTTACATTTCAGCAAAGAATTCTTTCATGAGTTAGATATAGCTATTTATGTTTTAACTATATATATGCATATATGTACTTATACTGAAATTTTTATGTTTTTAACTTGTTTATTTCTAAAATAATTTATTTTGATTTATCTTGTAACGATTAACTATTTCAATATTTTAGAAATTGTAAAAGGAAGTGAATGGCAGAATATTGGAGCTTATGTACATTTGAGATAGTCAATTGATGAAGATTGCATAAGCTTAAACCATCACCCAATCTTCTAAATATCTAATAAAGCACATAGTCACTTGTAGAAATTGAACTAATCATCCTCCCTATTTCATCATCAACTTGAGTAAAGAGATCTATTTGCTATTTGAATAAGTACTAACTCCTATTTCTCATATTTGTTTGACGACATCCTAAAAAGTTCAAATTTTCACAGAATACTATAAAATAAAAAGGAGAGTTTGAAAAAAAAGACATGCCTCCTTACACAACTTTCTCTTCAGCATGGTGAATTGATAAGCCAAGTAGGAAACAAATTTGAAAAATATCAACAGTCTTGACATCAAAACTACTGAAAATGATTTCACTTATAGTTAAACTCAACTTCAAGCTTAGAGACTTCAATTACTTGGTGAATTAATAAGCCTAAGTAAGTAAAAAATCTCGAAAACATCCATACTTAATTGGATCAGGACCTATTGAAGCCAAGTATTGGTGATTTTAGTGAGTAATATAGCTTTTGTAATAGCTTTACCTAGGATTTCGAACTAGTGGTGAATAAGGAGATGATGGCTGCTAAGGAGTGATTTAAGATGAATTGTATTGTTCTTGGAGTACCACATTGAATAAGAAGATTTTTTATTAGCTTTGACTATTTCTCTAGCCCTCTGGATGGGTTTATGATGCTCTAACATTGGTTCTAACTAGCCAATGAAAGAGACTATTTAGTGGGTATGTATACATACCATTAGAACTCGTACAATGATGGTTTACATTGATTCTTCTATTTTGTTTATTTAGCTATTGTTTCACCTTTAAAGGTTACAGAGTTCTTACTTTTCTACTTATGTTATTGTATAATGCTCAATTTGACACTTTTTAAGTTTTTACTTTTTCTTATAGGAGATAATTGAAGCTAATATAGAGGGTAAATTAATGAGTATGTTGAATATGGTCATTTTCTTTAATTTCTACACTTACACTTAAGAGAGTGAGTAGATAATCAGAGTTGTCTATGGTTAGAACAAGTTAACTGAGCTGGTGAATTAACGTGGCATCAAGCTTGCAATAAGGATCTAATACATGGAGATTTTTCTTTGAAGAAAAGAAAATGAAGGGGATTGGTTGCAATTAAGGTTATAGGAGGATTATAAAAATTATCAAAGTATATATTTAACTTTTCTTGTCTACTTGTATAAGATCTTAATATAGTTATTAATTGAAAATTATATATATGATTTTAGTTTGAAATCGATATAAAAATAAATATACAGATATAAAGAATGAAATGTAATATGTTTTTACATGTATATATGTGTATTATTAATTTTGATTTGCAGGCCTTCTGAAATCAAAGAAGATACTTTGAAACTTTGTTGTGACTTGGGAACGGATTATTAGTATGTCTAGATTAGAAGAGTATAAAAAACAAATACAGGATTACATTTGAAATGTTTGCGAATCATTATAATTAGCTAAAGAGCAAGTCTTATATATATATGTATAAAGTGAGTCAAAAGAAAAGGTGCGCGTATATAATTGTGGTACGATGATGGTAATTAAGGAAGTGGCTATGAATCCAGTTCCTGGTGTGTGGCTAATTTATTGTATATATAAAAATAAAGATGTATGTAACATGCTCATCACATTGTGGGCTTGAGTTCCAAATGCACATTTTCAATTCAAAAATGAATCTCCCGATAAGTTGACTTAGGCAGACGGTAAAAAAGGAGAGCAATTATATATGCAGGTATATATATATGTATTACACTTTTTTGAATATTAAATGCTAGATGCAGAATATTTTATTTAAATCTTTAATTGTATATAGAAAAAATATATACACATATGATATTTAGTGCATCAAACCATGTGTATAGTATATAATTTGAAATAATTTAGAATGCACCACATTTTACCTTACATTGTATATTCTATTATATTAAAATGCTCCACCCCCCATTCCTTATTAATAGCTATTCAACCATTGTATAATTTTATATCTACCCACTCCCGCCCCTTGGGCACACATGATAAAATACCATGACTAGAAAGAACGTTAACCTTGCTTATATCACTAACAACTCTGCAAGAAATGCCACATTCAAGAAAAGGAAGAATGAGCTGATGAAGAAAGTGAGCGAACTTAGCACTCTTTGCGATATCAAAGCCTGTGAAATTATTTACAGCCCTTATGACTTGCAACCAGATCTTTGGTTTTTCCCTCTCAGAGCCCAACACGTGCTTGTTGACTTTAAGAGGATGCCCGAGATGGAGCAGAGCAAGAAGATGGTGCATCAAGAAAGCTTCATGCACCAGAGGGTCAGTAAGGCAACAGACCAACTAAAAAAGAAGCGCAATGATAATTGCAAGAAGGAGATAACAGATATCATGATATACTTGAGTGATCCGGTAGAACAAGTGAAACATTTGGCAATAGTGCTAAGGATACTTCGAAGAGCCAAGTTGCATGCAAAGTTCATTAGATGTGAGTTTTGGTTAGATCAAATAGCATTCTTGGCCCATATTGTGTCAAAAGATGGGGTATCTGTTAACCTAGCAAAGGTAGAGGCAATGGTAAAGTAAGATGATGGAAACACTCAGCAAGTCACCTCAGCCTCAGGAGGCGACAGACGGAGGAGTAATGAAGGGTCCTAGTGAGACTTTCACTCAAATGTAGGAGGATTCTATGGTGCAAAAGTTGTAGTAGCAGTAGATGTGGTCAAGGATGGGATGATTCGTCTAGCATAGTAGACCAAACTCATAGGGTTGCGGAGGGAACATGGGATCCGGTGCGGTAGTATTGGTAAGATAGCACAAGCTTAATAAGCTGTGCAAATAC